CAACCAAATATAGCCAAATGTATTCGATCAAGATTCTTGACAACGAATTGACGAATTTTCCAGTTCTCTTTTTTCTTCTTCTTTTGATGCATCTGCAGTAATGGACATGCTCGTAAACAAAGAGGGCCCTAAATCTTTATTAAATAAAATAAATAAAAATTATTAAAAAATTTCGAAATCTGCGGTCGTTATTATCATTTACTTGTGAGCTAACCAATTAAAGAACTGCCTATAAATTCTAAAAATAGCAAAACAAAGAGGAAGAGTTAAGGAAATTTATTTCGCCCACAATATGTTTTATTTCAATTCTTATATTGTAATGAAATATTTTTTTTTACTAATCAAGTTAATTAGTTGTCTCGGTCAAATCGCTCATAAAAAATAGTTGAGTTAGAAATTTGAATTCAACTGTGGTTTGTTTTTAAGTTTATTGGTCTCACATATAGATTATGTGTAAATTTTATGAAGCACTTCGAAAAAAAAAAAATGGAGAAAAATTATTAAATGCTCAACCGGCACCATTGTTTTTAATTAGTTGTCAACAGCTGTACATAATATTGAGAATAAACTTACTTAAGGTGTTCACACGATTTCGAAGTTAAAGCTTGAATATTTTAGTCGAACTGTCAAACATTTCTGCTTCTCCTACAATCTGCCTGTTATAGTTTTCTTGACAGTTTTATTTTCAAAATTAATATGATTTGGAAATGTCTAAATTTGAAATTGTTAAACTTAATTGTTATACTTACTTTAATAAATTAATTTAATTTTGCTGCAAATGGACATTCTTTTTCATCAGATTGATATGAAAACTTTGATAATCTTATTTTAATGAAACAATATAATAAATACTGGCGTTTTCCTCTTCTACTTTAGACAAAAAATGTTTTAAAATTAATGAATGTTTGTGTAGTATTTAAAAAATAAGTGAAGAAGCGAAAATTGGGTTTCGCGACTTTAAAATACTCTGTACATACATATGTATATGTAGAACAATTATAGAAATCAAAAAACATTTCTTTTTAAATTTTGATAAATTTTACTTATAACTGCATAACTGACATACAAATTGCTTTTATGCTTGTCTATGCATGTTTATGCATATTTGTGTATGTCTATGCGTGTCTATGCATGTTTGTGTGTGTCTGTGTGTATCTCGTGTGCCTGTGCCTAACAGCAGCAACAACAACAACAGCTGCTTGGAGTGCTTGGGCAGTGATTATATATATAGGTATAACTTCCTGTTAAATCGGTCTATCATTATGAAACTTAGCATACGGACTTGTAATCACTAACTGATGGTTATTGCCAAATTTTAATTTAAAACGTCGAACGTTTTATCCACAACTTTGTCGCTAACTTTTTGGCGTTTGTTGAAATTTGATTTATATTTCATATTCATATGATTTTCAATTATTAGCAACATTTATAATATAGTACGCCAATATATTGTTTTCGTATTCGTTTCTTGTGCCTTGAACTTTTTTTGGAATACTAAATTGAAAAGAAGAATATTTTGACATCGTCATTCCATACTAATGGTTTTCAATTTCATGCATGACAACCACTCTTGATGGTTACACGCTAATTGGATGGCAATATTTTATTACACTCACTAAAACGTTATATTCTAGTAAATAAGTATATAATAATAAACTCAGTATATGGATAAGACTAGTCTATACATCAAGTGCCTAGCTGTTTTGGCTCAAGGGTTTTTGCTTTTCATACAGACGGAGGCACAGACAGATGGCCATGTGTATATCGTTTCGTCTTACCATGGCGATCATATGCTTGTATGTACTTTTTCCTGCCTGTTACATAAGTATGTACATATGTTTGGACTTTTTACCATACCTCTGGGCACCCTTCGGGCACATTATTAACTTTCCAAGGAGACTGTTGAAGCTGGCAGTCTTCGGGAATGCTAAATAGAGATGCACCAAAAATATAGACTTGTACCAACTCTTCATTATTCTGTGCACACCTCAGTAATTACGTACGCATTTTTTTCCTATAAAATAGTTTGTTTTTTTTTGGACTTAATTGATTGAGCTTGAGTTTTTTTATGGCGACATTCCGCCCATGGCAGCGGCCCATAAAAGTGCAGCTCCCCCTTTTTTATTTGATAGTTAGGCCACCAGCTGGGGAAAGTTGCACTTGCATTTCCATTTCATGGCATTTCTAATTGAATTTTAGCACGTTGTGATTTGGCGATTTGGTAGCGTCCGGTTTTATTTGATGTTCTCCACTGGGCCCCCACCCGCTCTGCGACGCCGGCATTCAACAGCAGAACAAAAGCTGACAAGCTGAGATAACCGGTAGTCATGGTCGTGGCAACTAGCCGGGGGCAAGAATCTCAGTACCAAACCGACAGCTTCTTCCACTCTGCCACTACTCGTATCATTGCAGCAAATTTTATAGCACCGCATTGTATCTTTGAGATACTCGCACTACTACTCGTACGAGTAGTTGGCGCTCGTTTTTGTTTTCCTGCTGGTGTGCACATTTGTTGCGCGTTGCAAAAATCTTTGGCGCTCATAAATTTTTATAGCTTGTAATTATTTTGGTGCTGCACATGCGCCAAGCTTCGTGCATCGTGCAACGTGCACCGTTCATAGAACCCCAGCAGGCGGTCGCATCCCAATGCCGTTCCTGCTGGTCCCGCACGTCAAGCGCTGAACGGTAGCCGGTCGAATGGATTCTGAATCGAGCAGAGGAAAATGTCTTCCTGTTCTGTTCAGTTCTGTTTGGTTTTTGGCATCGTGTTGTATTGTGAGATTTATACCATTTTGTAATTAATAGCAATGTTTTGTGATTGGCCTTCGATAGTGTTTATGGCTTGGCATCGCATTGTATGCGTATCTGATAGATACAGAGTTACAACTTCTTTATTTTTTGTTTTTTTTTTTTTTTTTTTTGTTTGTGTCTCCAGCTATACAATTAGAAGGTGAAGAAGAAATGGCTTCTACTATTGTATTGCTAATAAAGTTGTCAACTAATAAAATGGCCATTGTCTGTGGAAAGCACGCTGTTGACTTAAATGTTGAGTGTGTAGCCAAAGTATTGATGGTTGTTCGAAGCTATGGCTTTGGATAAACAGCTGCTGGCAATCTGCTTACGTGCCTACTTATTTCTGTTATTAATGACTTTTCTCTCTTTTCAAATATATGGCCTATCATTGGCATCAAGCACAATTGATATAATGTAATAAAAGATAAATAATTCCAATTCACAGCATTATTAGCACAACCAAGTAAAGGGGACACACTCCTACCACATTGATTATCTTATCTCCCAAAACATTAACCCCATCACCTTAATTACAAGCCCATCAATACACCACTCTAAACTCATATTAAAATATTTAAAAGTCACAAACATTTACCACAAAATCAAAGCCCTATCCTCATACCTACATATGTATTCGTACTCTTTTCTTTAATACTGTAAAATGTACTTAAAAAGTTACCTGAAGGCCCTAGAAGCCATTGCTAACATAATCTCTTCTGTTAGTTATAAGATTTTAATTTTAAGCTAGCATTATATAAATAAATAAAAATAAATAAATAAGTTAAGGTGACAACCATTCCAATAAATCATTATTTAAGCATCAATATTGATGATATCTTGGGAAATGCTTCACATATATTAAAAAACTATAAACACAACCAACCTAGGACTTTCTGCTAAAGGTCAAATACGAACAATGTCGAAATAGATAGAAAATAGTTTAGATTATTTTTTAGATATTTTTTATTACTTATTAAAGATGATCACAGAAGACAGCATTCAAGTAACGCAAATATTATAATATTTTAACCGAACGGCTTAGAAAAAAAACAATTTCAAATTAAAAAATTTTTATCTGGTAAGTTCAAAAATAAAAAATTATAATTTCTCCAACGTATTTTTGGAATACTGATAAATAAATTTAATTATACAAATCTAAACAACACTTCAAATTAATTTCTTTATAATTTGCCTTTATTCAAAAATTCTAGAAGCAAATGGGATACAATATTAAATATTAGTTAACTGAACAAAATAAACTATGAAAAAATGTTGTAATACATATAAAATATATATAGCACGAATTTTCCTATGTCCGTTTATATAAAATTTGGCGCAACTCAAGGAAGTCATCTTGACTTTTTTTATTGACGATGTTCTTGAATACTTATGAAAATGTTGATGCTGTACAACTTATTCTATTGTACAAAGATCAGATCATCTTTATTATATATGACAATATGTCATTGGAACGTACATTTATTCACAATTCTTGAGGTGAACTTCAATTTGAAAAGGGCTAAGGATCTACTTGGATTTATTTAAAATTGCTCTAATATTGAACAATAATGACATAGAGTGGACTTTTTAAATCATGATCAATCAATTTAAGAGCAGATTTACGAGTTAGACTACTTTTATATAACTGCCTCCGTAACTGGCTCCAGTTTTTACCAATTCCAATTAGTCGAGCTCTGAATGCTCAGTCATGTGCATGAAATATTTTAAAATCAGCTTATCTAATTATTTCATATTTCAGTTTTATGAATAAGGCCCTTTTCGATAATTATCTAAAGAACATATTAATGGTCTGCATACAACTTAACAAATTATTAAATATGTACAACTTCATTTAAGATGTCAGACACATATTTTTCGTTATCAAACGAATATCCTAAGAAAAATTGAATATTTTTTAATAGAAATTTTATAGTGCTAATGTATAGTTTACATATTTCGCATGGTTTGATAAAAAATACACAATTCTCAGACCTTGGCGAAAGCATCAGTAAAATATTGAATTGGTTCTCTTTAGTCCGTAGCACTGTCCTGAATATTGGCGAAGTGGACTCCGCCTTCCTCTTAAGTCGCCTTAAGCTATTAAGGATTAATAATTTGTCCACTACTTACGTCATTTAATTCATGATTAGCACGGCTATGTATTCGAACTCAATTCAAAATAGCAAAATAAAAGTACAATATTCAAATGTTTTCATTATTTGGTTTGTTTTATTAAATCGAATAGGGAACAATACTGAAACAGATAGTGCACTTTTCAAATCATAATTAATCAATATGGGAGCAGATCTTTAAAACGATTGAATAACGAAGGCGAAGGATAAAACGTAATATATAGTGTAACAAATCAACATAAAATCATTATACACACATTGGGTAATAATAGTTGAGATTTAGATTATTTCTATAAAGGTCATTTTTAACAGCTTCGTGAACGACCGGACTGGATATCATATCTACCGTATAGAGCATTGCATGTGCTATTCAAGAGAACAATATTTTACAACATTTTAAAACTATTAGATAAAATATGTTACTATGAAATACCTACCAAGGTGATGGTTGAATTGTTGGTCATAAACGCACATAAAGATCAAGAAATAACTCCTATTATCCGTTCCAATGACATTGTCAGAAGACGAATGTAAAAACAAGCCCGCGGGTTCACAAGGGTAATTAACCGGTTCTAAAGTCAAGGGGGCTTCTGAAAACAGGCCTTTATAATAGACTTCGGCACTGAACGCAGGCTACAAGTACATGACATCAACATGCTAGAATTTCCTTTTATTACTATGTAAATATTTTTCAGCAATACTTACAATATTGTGTACTAGGGATTGCGGCCTTGGACATGGTCCACTTATAAAGACTTGGCCGAACACAGAGTACGGAGAAAGCAAGACACAAGCAACCATATAAAAGCTAGAATATAATCACATTTCCAATTTGTAAACTTTTAAGAGAGTCTTGAAATACCTGAGCTTCAACATTGTATTGCTTTTAAGAAATTATTTTTACACAGCTTTACGAGTTAGACTACTGGAGTAAAAAAAACTACGTGCTATTTTATAGAATTGCCGCCGTAACTGGCTCCAGTTTTACTTGTAATTCCAATTAGTCGAGTTTTGAGTGCTCAGGCATGTGCGTTAAATATTTGCAAATCAGCTTTTTACGATTACCTGGTATCTCGAATTTTGAATAATATATTGGTCTCCAAAAGAGAAGAGAACTAATATAGTTATTTTAAATTTCAGTTTTATGAATAATGCAAAAGTGCATAAATTTAGTTAAAAATATGTGCAAAAATTATTTTAAAAAAAAATTAATTAATTAAAATTAAATATGTAAAGATTCGTTTAAGGTGTCATAAACATATTTTTCGTTATCAAATGAATACTGCACAGTAAAACAAATTTAACACTTTTTAATAGAAATTTGATATTTTTATAAATATATTTTTTAAATGTTTCACACGTTTTAATAAAAAATACCGAATACTCTCAGTTTATCAGATCTTAACAGATTATGGTTTGTAAAAGAAAAAGAAAAATCCAACTTTTGCAACTTTTTAATTTGCAAATTATCTGCTTAACCACCTTCTGAGCCATTTTAAAAAACACACTCCCAGCCAATTAGGTGTAAATTCTTTGCCGAACATTATTAACCTCTCAATTTTCAACGCCCATTTTTGCAAAGTTACTCCGAATACAATGCATTCCAGCCATTTGTTGGCAATCCGCTTACTTTTCATCTACGCCTAGCCATAACCTCGTTGAGTCCAACCCAAGCGAACTGGCAATTCGCTAAGCCACCGAACCACCCAGCCACAGTTTGATTTATGCGCCCATTTCTTTGCAAATGAGCCGAGCAAATCAAAACAAGTTCCAGCCCAGATGCCTCCGCTGAAGCACAACGAGCTGTTTCTGCTGTTTCTACTGCTGCTCCTACTGCTGCGTCTACTGATGGCGGCCCACAAGTAAACATTCGCATCTGCCAAATGCATTTGGCACGCAATTACGGCCCAAAGTGTTAATTGCATTTCCGTTGGTGAGCGAGAGAGCGAGCAGCCATAAAGCTACGGTTCGGCCCACAACTCACGCATTTAGCCACTAGGCCAGATCGGCGGACCAGACTCCTATCCAGGCAGCTTTAAGGAGCAACAAATGAAGGCGCACATTCTTTGCGGATAAACTCCACAGAGTTAACGGTGGTTTTAGTTGCCGGTTTAGTTTGGTTTGGTTTATTTTTTTTTGTTTTGTTGTTGATTTTTTTCGATTCTCCAAGGCGGCGCATGCGTGACAGACACGCAGCAGGCACAACCAAAGTCCCAGAGGTACTCGTGCTCGTAACTGCAACAAAACTAAGTCATACATTTGTAGAACACAGAAGAAGGCCTCCTCCGGACGACCAGCCAAGGAGACAACTAGACAACGAGACAACTAGACAGCTAGACATCTAGACATGTAGATGGCTCGACAAGCGGGCTATGTAACTGCAAATGGTGAATGGTGATATTTATGGGTAAATGTGCCGCAAACTTTAGGCATTTGCAGGCGAAGAAATGATTCCATTTTGCCACTCTTAGCATATTCATAAAGTGCTTCCTAGACACACACAAACACACACACACACAGACTTTGTTGCCACTCTCGTCCACTCGGCACTTGCGCCAAATTCGCAATAAGAGCTGACAGCCGGCCTCGTCGCTTATCGGCATTGCATGTCTTTGCCGCATGCGGTTGCCTTCTGATAAGCAAAAATTGGCTTAAGCCTGATGTGGCACAGCTGTCCTGGGCATTGGAAGCATTGCCGATGCTCTCTATACAAATTGTATGGCAAATCAATGGCATTTATTTGTGCCACAAGTTAGTCTGGGCTTTCCACAAATCCGTTAATAAGCCATTTTGACAAATTGGATGATTGTCGTTCTACTCGTACTATACAAGTATATCCGCCTCGTCGCTCATTCCCGTTACGGTGTCACAGGGGCGGAGAAAGTGATGATAAGCAGCAGCAGAAGCTGAAAATAAGTCAAATGAAAAGGGAACACGTCCAATGGAATAAGATGTTCTAAAGAACTTCTGTTCTTCGGTTAGGTGAAAATCAATTATTAATATACAGTCGTGCAGGTGCGATTTCCGCGGACCGCAAAAATCTTTCGAAATTATTACATTTGGCATTTGGCTCTGAATTTAAAATACTTTCTAAAATCAACATTTTATTGGAACACAAGAAAGTAACTTCGAAAAAAGAACAAGACTCAGAAAAATATCAAGCGTTAAAATACAATTGAATAGTTAGATTCGATTAAAGCTTCCACTTTTGCATACAAAATTCTGTGTTTAAAATAAAATTTTTAAATCAGGCTCTCTTGATTCCTATCAGAATATTTATTTTATTTGTAATTTTATTTACCATTTACATATATTGATTTAATTTCAGCCTATAATGATTTAAAACACATCACTAATAGATTTGAATTTCTGTTCAATTCCTCGACTTTAAATTAGAGATGGATGCAGACCTGATTAGTCTCCAGTACAAAAAAAAACTCAAACTAGCAATCACAACATATAAACTTATAGACATATATCACGGATCTACATACACAATGCATAGCATATTTCAAAAATACATTTAAATCTTGTATCAAACATTTGGTTACTATACAAGTCCAGCTCTTTTCCATATTTATTTAACTCTTTTTAAAAAAGAACTTTCTAAAAATAGCTTTAGCAAAATTAATCATTAAACCTTGCCATCATTTTGAAAATTACAATTAAACTAAATAATTATATATGTTTAAGTTGAACACTAATTGAGCTGCCAATATCGCTTTCGAAAATCGTTCATAATAAGTTTCTTTCCCACCATAATTGCTCTTTGCCTTGTTAATGGTAATACTCGTAATATCCTCCAATAGCGACTCTCTCAGATGCAAATATTATATAAGCAAGGCACTGAGTTTTAGTTAACCTCAAGTTATACTCAAGAACTCAATTTGTATTGAGGTCGACTTCCTTTAGTTCGAAGAAGCTCAATATTCAAAATGTTCTTCAGTGATTAAATAGTTTTTAAATAGTGCTTTTGTTGTGTTCTTAATTTTTTCTTTTTTTTTTATTTTAATTATATCGAAAAGTTTGATTTCTTATTTTTTCATAACATTTGTAACATTCTCAACTAACTGCTTTATAATTAATACTTGATATTATCCTTACTAAAAAATACAATCAATTATTAAATAATTATTATTAATTAGTTATTGGTATTATTAATTATTATTATTATTAATTATTGTAGTTAGTGATAATAACATTTTTATATAAATAATTATGTTTTCTTTTCACAGTATAGATGAGCACTAAAAAGGCGTTTAAAAAATTTTTTGAGCTCCAATTTTCAGTTTTCAGTTTCGTGAAAGAATACAAAATTAACTGTGTTTGTAAGGGACCTAAATTATTTGTGTTTTTTTTTTGGTATACTAATAAATAATAATAGTTGCACCTTGGACAACAAATGATTTGAGCTCAAATATGATATGCATTTGTGTTCTAACTTTGTCTTCTATTAGTAGTAAAAAAAAAGCATACATAAATTTATAAATATGTTATTTGAAATATGAAAATATTTTTTTTCCACAGCCCACATTTAGTTTAATCATCATGTTTAAATCATCTGCCTGATTGCATCTTACCATTACTTATAAATTCAAATTTATAATTCAACCCATATTCCCATTCCCAGGGCAACCGAAATTGCTGCTGTCCAGTATTTGAATGCAAATGCCAAATTAAGAACAATTTGCCAGGTAGCCGGCCAGAACCGCCCAACCAATCCACCAATTGCTTCGCCTTGTCATGCCAAATATTTCCTGTTGCTCTATAAACTTGTATTAAACGTCATGGTTAGTAGCTGTGGCGCGTTTTATGCCTTGCCACGTTTTTTCTCATTTTTTCTTCTTTTAATTCAACTGAAATTAATTGAGTAATTTGATGCGAACGCCGCGCAACGCATCCAAACAATTCAAAACATCACGCGTTTTACGACCAAAGCCAATGCCCATAGAATGGTCGCCCAGGGGGGGATGGGGAGGGGTGGGGGGTGTGGAAACAACAGTTGGGGACAAAGCGTGGAAATTGTAGCAGATGCAGATTATATGGCTGCCCGACAGGCGCATTCGCTATAACAAAAAGGAAACGAGGCCAGACACACAGACACAGACAAATTTAATATATAAAGTATATTAACTTTGATAGCAAATGACCGCGGGCCAGCGTCTAAAACGAGGGGCTAGGGAGCGGCAAGCAGGCGAAGATTCCTTTTTTTTGCAACAGCTTTTGTCAGGCGTTGGCGTGTGTGTGTGGAGTGACCAATGCACAGTGGTTGAAAATTTAGATTTTTTAAGAGATTTGTTGATGATTTGTTTTCATTTGTTTGTTTGGCATGGTCAGACTGTATAATAATTTGCCCACAAATTTAGCCAGCTTTATAAGTTAGTCATGAGCATAATCTCATGTCACTGAAAACCATTTATAATGTTATATCTACTATATACTTTTTAAAGCTAACTTGTAAGTGAACACAAGTTTGTGTGCAAATTATTTGCATAGCTGATAAGAGTAGGGATTCAAAGCAGATTAAAATATTGGAGCACTAGGAATAACAAAAACATGAAGAGTTCAATATTGGGGTGAAAAAGCATTGCAAAGCGACGGGAGTTCTTTAAAGAAACATAAAATTAGTTGTATTTTGAATAAAGGTGGACGATCTATATTAGCTGTTTTGTGGCACCAAAAAGAATTAAATATTTTGACATATATGCTACAAGGAAAGTCGACCTACTAGAAGAAGTAGTATAGAGTTTTAAATAATTGATAAAACCAAAATTATCTTTCTCTTCCTCAACTCTACAGCCAATTTTAATATCTTTTTATCAATTACTTACAAAATTAATTTAGATTTAGTTTAAAACAATTATTATGTAATATGTTGAAGACATTGCATATGTTGCACTAATATATATAATTTGTATACCAAGTATATTTAATTAAAACATTTTTTGCCGAAAAAAAATACTAATAAGTCATTCTTAAAATATAAAAAGCAAGTTTTTAAAGTAATCGTATAAAAAATGTGAATTTTTCAAACAATTTGTGGGGCCCGTTTCCCCTCTTTTGAGTTGAAATTTCCCTTATGCTCATCTACGCTGAGAAAGACTTATAATCTATAAGCTTTAACAAGATATTTTTTGTTAAAATTTTAAATAATTTCGATACCAGGCTATACTCTTCTTATTAACTCTCTAAGTAGAAATTTCTTCTTTTGAATTGAGTGCGAACAGCATTTTGTTATTGGTCGACTCCGACTCTCCGACTCGACTATAGTTTTTATATACATAATAGATTAAAATGTTATTAAGAATTGTTTATTTAAGTACTTAACAACACACATGTCCGTATATGTTAAACTTTATAGTGAAGCTTTTAAATTAAAATCAGAGAGAGCTTTCTTTGTTGATGTTTGGTGCCCAGTGTGCAATAAGAGGGCTGTACTTATAGTGTAGGCCAACACATGTTTGATGATGGGTGCGCTTTGAAGTCGAGAGACGAGCTCATCATCATGTAGGCAGTTAGTCGACGTTCGGTAGTCGTGGAGCGGCTGCTGGACTTGGAGCTGGGTCTGAGGCTGAGGCTGAAACTGAAGCTGAACGCTGAGGCTGCCACATGACAACCGTTTAAAAAGGTTTTATTTACACCGAAGACAGCAACAACAAACGCAAAAGAAGAAGCAACAACAATAGCGCAAGAGCAGCTGCCTCAGAGCTGTCCATGTTGCGCGCAATTAAGTTGCCAACAACTTTGAAATTATGCAATTATGGGTATGAGAAATTGCCTGGAAATTACATGAGGGACTTGACGAACCGCAACCACGACCAAGACCACGACCAAGACCACGACCAAGACCACGACCAAGACCAAGACCAAAGCAAAAGCAAAGCAAAATCAAAAGCCAAGAGTAAGACAAAGCCGTTGACTTTAAAGCTGCAGCTTCTGACTTGAGTCAAGCCTGCATGAGTCAGTCAGTCAGTCAGTCAGTCAGGCAGGCAGTTAGTCAGTTATTCAGGCAGCCTACTTGATTATTTATTAAAATGAAAGTTAAACAGCGAAAGGAAGCAATTTTCCATATAAAAGCGACGCGGGCCAACTCAGCTCCAGCTCTCCAGCTCGCCAGCTTCAGCTCCAGCTCCAGCACCAGCTACTTAGCTAGGTAACCATGGATGTGTATCAAGCTCCCTCTGCCTCCATATATATATTCTGAACATATAGCCAACAACAACTCTGGAGCTCCTACTGATGCGCTGTGCCTCTGACTGTGGCTATAGCTGTGGCTGAGGATGACGACGACGCGTAATTGCCATGTTTAAAGTGTGATTAATTTGTAATCATCAAGGCAAAGTCAGTGCCAGAGCAGCACCAGCACCACCAGCAGCAAAAACAACAACAAGAACAACAACAACAACAGCTCTAGTACAATAACTGCTCCTCCTAAGAACTGTGTGTAGCGAGGCTTGGCAAATGTTTGAATTTGCAGACCAAACCGAGTCGAGCAGAGGCAAAATCTCTGGCAAAAGTAGCGGATTTAGTGTTGGCACGACTCAAATAACTTTAGGGCACTCGAGAGTCGGCACTGGATGGCCGACTACTGACTGCCGCCTACATAGGCTTTGTATTTTTAAGTAATTGAGTTTGCCTTGCTCAAGGCGCTCAAAGTAGGCACTGGGGTATGCCTAATCGAGCCGACAGGGCCGCGAATCTAGCTATTTAAGTTTTCTAATACTTGAACTCCAAAAAAATGCATCAAAAAATAGTATTTTTATAAGAAAAACTTGATGCATAGCATCTACTCATGTCGATTATTTGTATTCTCTGCACTGCAATGTGAGACGGCTTTCGTAATTATAATAATGCCGAATGGCCTTAAATCAGATGAAACATAAATACTTTTCTTTCCACAAAAAACCCCACAAATATGGAAAATAAATCACAACAATCATTACATCCTCTTTTATTTTATTTCAATAATAACATAAACTATTTACATATTTCAAAAAGTTATGCGATCTAACATATTATAAAGTAACACGCCTTTAACTTTCGAGTAATAAAAAACAAGTTTTATAACGAACAACAAATAAATTTTAAAACCAATAATTAATTAATAAATAATTATTAAGCGTTGGTTTATGGTACCTATTTAATAATAATTTAATACAGTTTCAGACATTCTACTAAGTGTAACAATTACTAAAAAACAATTATTTTCAAATGTATGAAGTAAATGTTTCTTTTATTCACCGACAAGAATAAAGTTTATTTAAAATCAAATGTTTATTGAATATTTACAGTTCTGGTGGTATTCAGATAATACCTTCAAAAAATTATTAATAAGCAAAATCAACTAAACTACATTCAAAAAATTATTTAAAAACAAAATCAGCTAAAGATATTCATACATATGCATATGTAGTATATATCTACTTTAATGTGCAACAATATTATTGTTTTGCACCGATTTCGGGAAGGAAGAGCTACGTCTTAACTAATTTTAAAAACTATTTTTCTTTTGAAATAGGACACATTATTCTTGCACGACACACCCACAATAAGGAAGAAATATAAATAATCTCGTCTTCCCAAGTACTTAAACAGTTTTAAAAACCATCTTAAACGAGTACACATTACAAAAATTCAAACTACGGACAAACTCTTCGCAGAAGCCAACTCTCTAAATATAAAAGCATTCGTCAAACGTATCTCTACATTAAATACAAGCTCATAAATATACACAAACTAGCCTCAAAGCCTTAGTAGCTTAGTAGCTAGTTAAGATTGTTATTTAAAATTTATTTAATAATTGCAATAATGCAAAATTGTAATCTGGAATGACTCCATTTTTAAGTTATATACATTTAAGGCGAAAGTCAATTGAACCTTTTGAGGTAAGCTGTATTTATATCTGTGATTAAACAACACGTGCAGTGTAAGATTATATCAAAATTATTTATGTTATTTTTATTTTAATTGACAACATATATACTCGTGTGTATATATCGATTTGCTTGCAGATGAACGCCTCGGACTACTATTGATTGAGAATCGAATGGCAAATAAAACTCCTCATAATTTGATTAATTCCAACTAAGGTTATCCTATTTTATAAGGCCTTATTATGACAGTCGTATTGTTCGATTGATATTGAGCCAACAACAGCTTGTGTTTGTCGACATAAATAAATAAAATAAGAATAAACAATAAAAACGGCATCAGCGCGTGGAATCTGGAGTAGTCAATAAATTCAGGGGCTTTGTTTCATAAATTTACGATGCCGCCTTCTTGACTTAGAATTTAATTTGGAATGTTTAATGTGTCGAAAGAAATGCATGAAATTCTCACGCTCGGCAACAGGTTTTGATTTCGTTAAAGTTCATTGAGAATTCGAGAGCTATATAAACCGAAATTGGAGCCACCAATTGCTTCACTTTGAATTGGAACTCTGGAATAAAATGGTAGGAATTGTTTAATAAATTTAATTAGCAGCTTGCAACTCCCACTTCATTTTCATAGAGATCAGGACTTGTTGTGCTGTTGTGCCTGTTGGGGGTCGCCTGTCTACCCCATGCAATACACTCAAAGCATCACAGGCAACAAAAACGTGAGGAGCATGAAGAAGATCGTCACTATCTGCCGCCTGATCCGAAGGAGGAAAAGGAGGAGCTCGAGAAACCGTTTTACAAACAGGAAAAACACACCAGCGAGCGCATTGTCTACCACAAACATGACTACGAGCCCCGGGTCTACCACTCTGGAGAGCATCATGAGCCCAAGAAGCAGCGCGTCGATCATTACCATCATTACGATAAGAAGCCAGAGGTGAAAACCACCAAACATGTGCATTATACCTCCTCCACGCCAAAGATACGTACAGACTACAATAGGGATCTATTCACGCCCGCAGTCACACAGACGATCTATCGGAGAGGTCGCCCCCATCGTGTAACCATCGCCAGCGCACCCCACTCAGTGTTTCACACACAAATCAATGTGCAGTCCCAAGACTCTGAGCTGAACGCACAATTCCGGCCAGACCCACCCATCATTGGGGCCCCCAACAACAACCCGGCTGGTGCTCAGCTACCAGCTAATGCTTTCCCTCCCGGCGGCGGTCAGTTGCCTTCAGGTGCTTCGCCTGGTTGTCAGTTTCCGTTGGCTGGAAATGCAGCTGCTGGCTGCGCTTTCCCCGGCCAAAATCCTACTGGCGCTCAGCACCCTGCCAGCGCACTTGCACCGTCCAACAATTTTCCAACCAATACGGGCTTTCTCCCTGGCCAATTAGCCGTACAGGGCAATGGCCAACCACCTCGAAAGCTATTTCGACACCACAAGTCGCACAACGACAATGTTTACGGCCCCGCGTTAGGAGCCCAATTTCCCATAGCTCAAGCGCCTATCTCCCACCAACCTATTTCACAAGTTCCTGCAGATCAAGCACCCTTGGCTCAGTTTCCTAATCGGAGGGCTCTTGATGCTCAGTTACCTCTCGCCCAGCAAGCAATTCAGGCTCCTGTGCCTGGCACTCAGCATCCCGCTGCTCAATTTCCCACATCACAACCGCCAACTGATCAATTGCGTTATAAATTTGATCCGAAGGTTGGGGCTCAACAACCCACGGAAGTATTTCCAACATATCAGGCACCCGGCACACAGCTTCCTCAACCTTCATCAGGCCGGCGCAACCGTCCAAATCGTAATCGATCCAACTACCAGGGTCTCAATGTACTCGGCGGCAATGTGCTGGGTCAGCCTCATCTGCAAGGACCTGCCAATGTATTTGGGAACCGACAGGACACCAATATCATCGGTGGCAACTTTTATAGCGATGCCGACCATTATGGAAAGCAACGACAATTAGTGGCATTCAACGGAAATCAACGATCTGTATTCTTGACCGATGATGTCGATGATGAGAGCGTTGGGGATATCGAAGATACTGAGTTCGGCGGAGCTGCCAGCACACCCGAAGTCGTCTACACAACAGTTCAGGGCAAGAAGGTCAACAAGAACGGTTCAAAGCCGAGGAGCCAGCACCGCAGTGATTTGAACACCGCAGCCTCCTCGCTGGACTACACTTACAACTTACTTGGAGCTTCCTCGGAGCACGATACTGACTATCGTGAGGATGGTTATCACTACGAGAAACCAAAACGTGCATTCGAATTCTGAGGATTCTTAATTCTTACACCTTTCCATGTTACTCATATGCATTTACTTCAAGAGCTTCTTTAAGAAAGAAGAAATAGTTATTAAGAAAACAAAATATATGTTTAGAAGGTGACTAAAATTTCCAGAAATTAATGATGAAATTAATGAAATTGTGGAAAATACTTCATCTGTGATTCGAAATGCTTTAAATTTTTTATCAATTCACAATAGCATAATAACTGTTTTGGAAAAATGCATTAATCCAGAATATTTAAGGCGAAATATTATATATTAAAATTTTAATAAAAAGAAGATCCAAATATGGAATTTTTGAAATATTTTGTGAGCAATGTATTGATCATATGCCAGTAAATCAAATCAGTAGCAAATAGAAAACAATAATATTTAAAAACTAACTATTATATGATCGATATGATGATCGATAACTATATTAAAATCTAACTATTATATCAATGATCGATAACTTTATTTTACCTTGCACTCAATGACATTCCTTGGTTTATCTATCGAATCACTAGATAAAGAAAAAGCACGGCTTACAGAATTAAAAGTGCCCCCTCTCTGAATTTTCAAATCGAATCAAAAAGTTACCTGAAGACAATTTTCTAAGCATTCGTAATTAATGATAGAAAATGTATTCATTACCCTTCAATCATTAAAATCGAGGAGTTCGTTACATCATATATTTCAAGAAATGAATAATCTATGTATTACCAAATAAACTCCTAGACTATAAAGCAACAAATCTGGTATCATTATCGAACTATTCCGCCTGATTTAAAAACTATCAATCACTTGATCAATGAGCTTTTTATGCACACAAGGGAAACCCATTCTTCATCAAATAAAAAAATTTAAGTTATTAGGCTATATTTTTTCTATATCATATGCCATACTCGACTTAAGAACTATCGATATTAGAGAAACTACGATATAATACCAAACATTTTGGCCAGAATCACAATAAAGGTTCATTTTAAAAAGGTGTATGAGAACTGTTTAGAGTGCGGCGTTATTTGGAAACTATTAAATAACATTAGTTCTATACTGATACAGAGATATTTAAGCCTTGGCCAAAGCTCTTCATTATTCGACTAGATAATTGATCTCCTTCATAAAGAACGTGAAGTTATTCTTGTTCTTGCAAGGTACATATCAATGGGAATGAAAGACCACATAGGGTTTCAGTCTCACTTTTTAATTATCTTTCCCTCGACTTCCTCACAAAAAATAATAACCTATTTAGTTTAGAAAATTACAAAATAAATTAGTTTTAAAAAATAGTAAGCTTTATTATTTGAATTCAAAAATAAAGGTTTCTTAAATTGCTCTTTAAAGTCGCGAAAAATGTTTACGTACAGTTTTCGAAATTAAAGACGACTTTTCGCAAACATTCTTTTAGACCCTCATGTTGTCGAGATTGTAACACCTGATGGTGCCCTTATCCTGGCACTCAGAATCATGAACTTGACGGAAAACTACAAGGAGGAAGGAAGGAAGACACATATAATAGGCAGATTAAAGACATAGCCTCGGGTTAACTCACTGTTGTTGGTATTGAAGCAGTTCCATTTGCTGAGCTCGCATTGGCCGGGAAATTCGACGACGCATTTGCCGTTGCTGGCGCAGACGGGCAAGGACTGGCGGGGACACTGGAAATTGCATTTGCCAAGTTTCTCCTGCTCGAGGTGCTTGTGACTTAGATGGAGCACATGTAGCACGTTGTTGTTGTTGTTGTTGTGGTTGTTGCTCCAATGATGTGTTGGATGCGACAAGGCACGTCCAGCACGAAGTGCCTGCGCCTGGAGCATAGGCTCCACATGCAACGGAGCCGTTGTGGTGGTCGTTGCAGCTGTTGTTGTTGTTGTGGTGGTGCTGGAACTCTTGGCCTGCTTCTGACGCTCTCTGATCGCATGATTAATGGCCTGGGGTATGTGCTTTTGGGCCTGTTGCATCACCAGATTGACATGTTGCTGCAACTTGTTTACCTTATCGGCAATGTCCAGTGGCGCTTGGCCGGGCAACGAAACCACAATGTGTGGCAATGGCACCGCCTTGTTCTGCACCACAGCTGTTCCAGTTCCCGTTCCCGTTCCAGATGCAGTCGCAGTCGCAGTCGCTGCTGCAGTTCCACTTCCAGGCTGCATACGCTGCACCAATGTCGCCGTAGCCTGATGATTTATCACCTGTGGTATGTGAGCGTGCACCTGTTGTACGGCATGTTGGACTTCGAGTGGAACTTGTTGCTGGTGTTGGCGGCTGTTGGTTGGTGGCACCACTGAGCTGGCAACAGTTCCCATTTGCGGCACTTGACCCACCAGGGTGGTGGTCTGCGAATGAGGTACTTTTTGCTGCTGCTGCTGCTGCTGCTGCTTTACATGTTGCAGCACTTGATTGATGTGATTGTTAATCAGGGCTTGTATATGCTCGGATAGCTCTGGCTTCGGTGATGGCACATTGGACAACAGATGTGGCACTTCTACAGCCAGAGCCAACGTGAAGAAGGCTGCAAGTAATGAAGAGTGTTAAGTATTGTCCACTTTTATTCGCATTTTCCCGCATCCACTTACTGGCTATCAGTAAACCCTGTACATGCATATTGTCAGTCTTTTTCGATACACAAAACTTATTTTTATTTACACTTGATTGGACTTGCTGGCTCACTGCCTGCAAGTTGACACGCTCAGAGGGTTCTGTACGATTGGTTTAAAGCACTGCCCACTTTATATAGCCAGCGCACTCGCATTTGTTTTAAACTCTTTGCAAATAAATGCAAATGTTTATTGTAAAACACAAATTCAGATCAGCAGCTGGAACTCGTTTGGTTTTGCTTCGACAATCGTGTGGCAGTTGTCTGAATTTTAAATTCTGTTCGTCTGCATTTTAATTGCTTCCTTTATCAGGTGGATCTTGTTGTTGGTGGCTTTAATAATTTAATAAATGTGCTTTTGTTTAATTTTTGATGGCGCCGGGGCGTGGCAAATCATAAGTTAATTATAAATTAGCTGCATGTGTTTCGGAACTCGAGCCGAAAACTGTCATCTCTGCTTGCTGCTGTCTCTCCAGGATTTGTGCTTGGACAAAAATTGTTCTCGTTATTAACTAAATACGTTTTATACTTCAGAAGATAGATTGCATAAAATGAGATTTAAGTAAGTTATGACAATATGAGTGCCAGAATAATCAAACAAGAGTTTCGTCCGCTCGACTCTACCATTATATTCGTGATATTACTCATACGCCATGTTGTTCATGCATTTTTCTGGCTTACGCCGAATATTCGACAACATTATTGCTCCTTTAAATATCAATATAGATAAATTTAAGACGAGAATTAATTTAGTTTAGACCTTTGCCGTAAAATCAGGCCATATAACTTGTGATGGAATTTGAAGAGCGCACACAATAGGACTTCTATGAACTCTACTATCCATCTAAGCATCTTTTACACACCTAGCTACAAGTTGAATAGTCACTATTAACTGTATAGTATATGTACATATATAGACTGAATAACAAGTAAAAAATAATCAAAATTGAGTTCTAATTTTTAATAAAATAATTTAATATAAATATGAGCTTAACTTGCTGAGTTTTTGAACTTTTATTTGTAAATTTTACTATATTTTACTATATTTTATCTTTTACTATATTTTTGGAGAAGAAAACATTTTTTCTTTATCATAAAATTTTTACATTTTTATACAGTTTTCAAGGTTTATGCTCTTTATAAAATGTGACACTATTAAATTTAGAGAAATACTTTTTTGCTTTAGGAGCAAAGAGCTATGATAAATGGCTACAAATTTGTATGTCAAATATTCATTTGCATATTACATATAAACATTCATTTAACATACACAAAAGGCAAACAAGTATCCAAACCAGAAACTTAGATAAAGCAAAATATATTGAATGTGTATAATTGTATCTTTGCGACCCTTCTCTGGAACCTGCTTAAGGGATTTTTGAATGAACATAAACGTACTTCGCTAAATTTTAAACAAAATTATATACTTTTTGTATCTTCTTAGTAAATTTGTGTAAGATATGCGGAAGGTGCGAATGGTACCGTACGTGGCAATAATTGTTAAGCCGTAATTTATTCACAAAAATTTCCCGGACCTATTTATTTATATTATAAGATTACTTTTAAGTTATTACGCTAGTCATAGCACATTTATTTTCAAATTTAATTCAATTAAAAATTTAATTTATTTGTCAAAAAAAATTTAAATTTTTTTCCCTTTTTTCCTCTAGTTTTTTTTTCTTAAATAAATACCTCATTAATATTCCATAATTTGAAATACACTTGTGATTTATTTTTAAAACAACAGAATTCCGACACTTTTCATTTCTTAATCCAATTATAATTTTTTCTACACCAGTCCCTTAAGCTCTCGACTCTGCGCCCAGTCAGAAGCAATGCTAACTAGAAGCTGACAACATATTTATATATATACTTGTAGATTTATCTAAATTGCGAAGCCATTGTAGCCAGTCATAATTTCGAAATCGAAAGCACACCACACCGGCATCCATTAAACAAATCTAATCCCCTTTTAAGCGTTTATCAAATTCTCGAAGAACATACAAAAAACGTAGCATACTTTTAAGCGCATATGCAAAATGAAAATAAAATTCGTGTACATGCATAACATAATTCTAAAAATATCACAAAATAAGTTTGCCTTTTAAAAGCGATACAGATATGCAAATGTCCATGGCACGCCCATGGAAAACCGAAAAGGATTTATTTTTGGCCCAAATTAAAAGACAAAAGCACAGTAATTGGCAATGCCAAGCATCCAAGCCGGTCCCGGGCCCAGCCCCAAGCCAACAAGTCCAGACAATGAATGTAATTTGCCTGTGGACATGTTTGGCCATATTTGGCAGGTGTTGGATTTTTAGGATTATGACAGACAGGAGGCAATAAGGAAAACCAAAAGTTTGTTGCCCACATGTGCAGTTTTTTGGTATAAAAACATGTGCGAACGAGGCAGAGAACAACAGTTGCTGCAACAATAACAGCAAGGTAACAACAAACAACAACAACAACCTAGTCCACAGAATCTGCTTCAATTTCGTGCAAAATGAACAATTTTTCACTCCTCTGTTTGGGTAAGTTTTGCATTCACCGCACACAACCATGTATTAACAACTGCAGCTTCCAAACTGTGATCCCATTTACAGTTTGCATTGCCGTCGGTGTCGCCGTCAATGCCAAAGTGTTGCCGGCAAATACTAGCAATGTGATGGCCATCAATCAACACGGCGACATGGTCTGGGCCGATGAGGTGAGCGGCTTGCCGGACAAATGCGACTTTAGCTGCACCGACCAGGATGTGCCCATCTGCGCCAACAATGGCCAGTGCCTGCAAAAGTTCAGCAGCAATTGCGCCATGTCCGCCTACAACTGCCGCCATCCACAGAAGCGTTTCAACGTCATCGAGAACTGGCGCTGTGAGGAGTCCTGGGCTCCACTCTGTGGTGTTGAGGACCGCAAGGAATTGAACCTGTAAAGCATTCGTTTATGTGCGAATATCAGGGTAGTCATTGGAAGTTGGTTGTAAATTTGAAAAAATGATTAAACTTGTGCATAAATCTGTTAAAATAAAACTTGAATATGTACCTATATGTTTTCGAGTATATCTTTCAATTGTTTGCCTCAAATTCAAAGGAGTCAGCAATACAAAAATAAATTTATAATAATTTACGATTGCCCAATCCTACTTCAATGGAAAATAATGTCCAATGATCAAAAATATATATACTTGTACAAGTATATAGTAATAGTAGAAAGAGAAATAATCCAAAACAAATCAAAGGACGCTTCAAGGGCGAGGAGCATCAAACAACCATCACACATAAGCTTCCTTGATCTAAGCAGACCCCGTATTAAAAATATTGTGTTACCTTAAATTTTATACTTTTTTTCTTGACTCGACTCGATACAGATGTACTTCTAGGGGTCTGCAACAAAATCTCCAGATAGTACCATTCGAATGAAAGAAACAACAATAATTTTCATATTTTGTTAGCAAAATACATGGAATCAACACTTAGTAAATAATTAATATATCATCAAAATTTTTTTCTGAAACGTACTCCAGAAACAGTTAGTCGTTTAGGTAATAACCTACATTAATATTTACTGATCGCATTAATACCACAACTTAATAGTTCATTGTTTGGGAACCATTAACCATTTCAACTTCCAAAGATAGTGTATTTTTAATCTATGTTAAAATCTCGTTAACGAAATTTCCATAATGCAGGGGGGTTTCCAATCCAACGATATTTTATCACTTTTTTTGTAACTTTTCTCTAAATTCGAGAGGTCAAATATTTTATTTTATTTTAAAATCTCGTTAACGAAATCTTCATAATGCATGGAAGTTTCCAATACAACGATATTTTGTAACTTGTTCTTGTAACTTTTCTTCAAAATAAAGAGGAGAAATATTTTATTTCTGAAATATATTTATAGGTATTTTGTTTTTTTTCCCCCTATTGTTTAAATACAATATGAACATGTGGAATTGAATCAAATCACTACGCATCAAGTACTTTAAGGCCCCTTTCTGAAAATTAAACATTGTAGAACTACGTAGATAAACGCTACTTGACCGTAGAAATAGACACTTAAGAAAAGATTAACCGTACAGCCTGCCCGCCAAAATAAAACGTAGCAGTCTGAATAATAATAAGGCTAGAATTGTAAGGCTTAAGGTACAGTTCTAAATTCAAATGCTTCGAATGGTGATATCCTTTCATTTAAAAAAATGTAAATATTGTATATTCCTCTAAAGTTTTCCTTTAGTTCAATCTGCAATTACATAACAACTAAACAAATCCGATTCAAACAAACTTTTAAGTACAAATATAGTTTCATAACTTTTATTGAACAAATGTTTACATAGATGTATTTTTTTAAATTTAACTGTGTAAAGTAATTTACACTTTTCCCTGACCCCATAAACTAAACTAACGTCTGCCCCTTAAACCTTAAGATCATCCTCATTGCAGCGTCGCGCACATAAGCCCAGGCGGCAGACATCCTCATCGACGACGCGGAACGCCAAATCACGATTCTTGCAGTTATAGGTGTCCAGGACGCACTGGTTGGCGAACTCATGCGTGCAGATGCCGTTATGCGCGCAAATGGGCACGAAGTCGTGCTTGGTGCATAGAATATCACAGTTCTCGGCGGGCTTGGACTCCATCATCATGGGCGAAGGCGTTGTGGTCATATCTGCCAGCAAGAGCTGATGGCACGTCTTTGAGGGTCCACGCTTGGGAACTATCGTTGGGGTTGGGATGGTGGTGGGTGGAAGGACAGCAACGGGCATGAGTTCGGAGGCGGCTCCGCTCATCGTATTATGAGGAATTCCTGGATTGGGAATACCATGATTGGGGATGCCGGGGTTGGGAATGCCGTGGTTTGGAATTCCACGGTTGGGAATGCCATGGTTTGGAATTCCTGGGTTTGGAATGCCATGGTTTGGAATTCCGCGGTTGGGAATGCCGTGGTTAGGAATGCCAGGATTGGGAATGCCGTGATTAGGAATTCCTGGGTTTGGAATGCCATGGTTTGGAATTCCGCGGTTGGGAATGCCGTGGTTTGGAATTCCTGGGTTTGGAATGCCATGGTTTGGAATTCCGCGATTGGGAATGCCGTGGTTAGGAATGCCAGGATTGGGAATGCCGTGATTAGGAATTCCTGGGTTTGGAATGCCGTGGTTTGGAATTCCGCGGTTGGGAATGCCGTGGTTTGGAATTCCTGGGTTTGGAATGCCATGGTTTGGAATTCCGCGATTGGGAATGCCGTGGTTTGGAATTCCGCGATTGGGAATGCCGTGGTTAGGAATTCCTGGGTTTGGAATGCCATGGTTCGGTATTCCTCGATTCATAGTCTCCATAATGGCACGTCTGTCCCGAGACAACCAAGCGTCCTTTGTCGAAGGCACTTGATCCACGATCTTGTCCTGTTTGTTTTCAACTACTCGAGAATTATCCACATGTTCCTGGACGACAGATATATCCTCATTAACGGCACGTCTTTCCCGAGACAACCAAGCGTCCTTTGTCGAAGGCACTTGAGCAACAGTCTCCACGATCTTGTCCTGTTTGTTTTCAACTACTCGAGAATTATCCACATGTTCCTGGACGACAGATATATCCTTATTAACAGCACGTCTTTCCCGAGACAACGAAGCATCCTTTGTCGAAGGCACTTGAGCAACAGTCTCCACGATCTTGTCCTGTTTGTTTTCAACTACTCGAGAATTATCCACATGTTCCTGGACGACAGATATATCCTCATTAACGGCACGTCTGTCCCGGGACAACCAAGTGCCAGGATTGGGAATGCCGTGGTTTGGAAGTCCTGGGTTTGGAATGCCTTCGTTAGGGATACCAGGGTTGGGAATACCTCGGTTAGGAATGCCGGGATTGGGAATGCCGTGGTTAGGAATTCCTGGGTTTGGAATGCCATGGTTTGTAATTCCGCGGTTGGGAATGCCGTGGTTTGGGATTCCTGGGTTTGGAATGCCTTCGTTCGGGATACCACGATTGGGAATGCCGTGGTTCGGTATTCCTAGATTCGTAGACTCCATAATGGCACGTCTGTCCCGAGACAACCAAGCGTCCTTTGTCGAAGGCACTTGATCCACGATCTTGTCCTGTTTATTTTCAACTACTCGAGAATTATCCACATGGTCCTGGACAACCGATATATCCTCATTAACGGCACGTCTTTCCCGAGACAACCAAGCATCCTTTGTCGATGGCATTTGAGCAACAGTCTCCACGATCTTGTCCTGTTTGTTTTCAACTACTCGAGAATTATCCACATGTTCCTGGACGACAGATATATCCTCATTAACAGCACGTCTGTCCCGAGACAACCAAGCGTCCTTTGTCGAAGGCCCTTGAGCAACAGTCTCCACGATCTTGTCCTGTTTGTTTTCAACTACTCGGGAATTATCCACATGCTCCTGGACAACCGATATATCCTCATCAACGGCACGTCTTTCCCGAGACAACCAAGCGTCCTTTGTCGAAGGCCCTTGAGCAACAGTCTCCACGATCTTTTCCTGTTTGTTTTCAATCGCTCGAGGAATATCCACAAGGTCCGAAACTCCAGATTTTGGGTCCTCCACAATAGCGCGCTTATTTCGCACCAGCGCTGATTCCTTCATCAAGGGAACTGTGACCGTGGGTGGCGCCACAACCTCCTCAATCCCTTTGCTCGGCGTGATCTCAACTACGCGGGCAATCTCCACATGATCGTCAGTTATCAGGGGCTTTCCGTTGGACAGCAACGGTACTTGTACAGCAACACGACCGATCTCTGAATTTGGCACAACCTGCGCTGTGGCGAAGACGAAACACAGCAGCACTGAAAGATAACGACAATCGGTAAGTGTCGAATCCTTTTCGAAACAAGCACTCGAGCCTTACCTGCGGCCAATACTAAGGATAGCTTATGCATCTTGTAAGTTCAACTTGTCTTCTGTGTCCTTCAATGCCCAAGGCCGATGTTTTTATAAGACGATTTGAAGCCGGCGACGCTTCGAACCGGTCCAACCAAGAACAGCAGCTGTGCCGAGACGAACTTTCAATTGCGCAATGCATGCGCAACCGGTTCTCGACTCCGAAATGCTTTCCTCAATTAATTTAGCATTTATGATAATTGCGCTCCAAATGCTTATTGGGTGGCGCCTTTATTAGCGATGTTTTGTTTAGGGAAAGGCAAACGAATTGTTAATTTCTTTTTTTATAAAATACGTTTTTATTTTTTAATAAGTTCTTGCGCAACACGCACAAAATGTTGCATTGTAAGTTACATTTTAATATAAGGTAATAGTTTAATGGACTTGAAAAGCCAATGCGCATTGTTAATGTTATCTACAGCCTTAAATTTTATTTATTTTATCTCTCTTTTTTTAATATATAATTTAACAAACATGTAAGGCAACAAATTTTGATTATTCTTTTCCAATTGTATGGGATGCTTAATTTAGGGGGTGTTTTGACCGCTAGAGTTTTAGATTATTTGTTAAGTCTATACTATTAAGAATCGCCTTTAAAAACTATTGAGTCTGTCTACAACAGACTTCCGTTCAGTGTTGTAAAACAGTTTTCCACTATCCCTTCTATATGATTTGCAAACACTATTGTTTTATTGTTTAATCGATAATATTAAATGTTTGTTCTCGGTTTAATTAATTAATTGTTTATTTTTCGTTTCTTTCCATTCTTGATAATAGCATGTCACTCTTAGGTCAACTTAAACTTCAACTATATGTTCTGGGATTGTCCATACCGTAAACGCAAATTGTTTAGTAACTTTCTTGGTTTCTTAAAGTGGGAGTTGCTAGTGACAGATATTACTTAAAAACTTTTTTTCAAAATGACATACTATATAGAGTAGTTATTGGCAAAGATTGAATATAGCGAGAGAAATTGGAGAAAGAGTTGCAATGAAAATTAATACAAACAGATAAGAAAAACTACAGTTTAAAAAAGATTTAAAAATTGTAAAATATCAATACAATTTCGTGTTAGAAATGAAAAGGGAACGACTCTATGAAGAGACCGAGAAACGATTGGCATTTCTTAAAAGAACCGAAGATTTCGACTCCATACTGTCATTTTAATGCCATGAGTGCTTGTCTTTAGTACAATGAACAACTATTTGTTAAAAATCATTTAGCAAATATAATCGTGGCACACTATCCAAATCCAAATCCTGGACTTTGCAACGTCCGGCCCGAGTAAGCTTCAAAAACACGTATTCGGCAATTATTAAGAATGTTTTACAATTCGCGTATTAAAATAGTTCTGTTTTATACAATAAATTATTGTTGCATTTAAAATGATCTTAACCATTACATATTAATATCTTCAGGCCTTATTAACAACACTACACAACTATAAACAATATCATTTGATGAACGAAACATTTCTCTGGCCCTACATTTTATACAAACATTCAGCTTTTAATCATTGGCTTTACAAAACAGTGGTAACCGTATTGGTTGAAATATTGGCCATTTACAAAAATATTTTTAAACAAGAAGAACAAAAATTGTTTTCAACTGATTTGCCAAAAAGTGCATGTGTTGTTTCGGTTTTAAAATTATACATTAAATTTTTATAAAATAAGTTATGACTTAACTTTTATATAAATAGTATGTATGGGGCTTGGCTTAAAAGCTATTCATAGTTCATTAGTTTAGTTGTAATTAATGTTAAGTTAGACTGTCCAGCGACACGTCTTGTGTTGCTTAGTTGGTTGTTGTTGTTGTTTTTGTTAATATTATTGATGCTTATTTTTGTTCACTTGCGCTCGATGGGCTTCACTTCGAGCAATTGCGGATAGTTCTCCACGATATTGAGTAAGATGGTATCAATGTAATGCTTTAGGCGGGTATTTTCATCCTCCTTTTCCTGGAAGGCTTGTTGCAGCTGTAAGCACAATTGAACAGATAATACTATTAGCAGAAGTTCACGGGAAATAAGTGTTAGTATCAAAGCAACATGTAATGTTAAATATAGATGTGTTTATTATGTATTTACATAAAGTCGATTTCAACATAAATGTCTTAGTCCCGATTTAAGTTGATGCGCATGTTGAATGAAGTGATGAGATATTTATTTATTTATTTTATTAATTTCCCAAAATTGCAAAAACCATAACCATAACTTAATTAATTAATTTTGATTAGACAGAGACAAAAGTATGTTCAAGGAGCTCTGCCAACTGTTAAACAACAGTGGCTTAGCAGTTGCACTCAAACTGCAGCAGTGCAACCAATGCATCGTGAACTGTGTGCGGGAGCAGATGCAACAGTTCTTCTCAAACCGTACCAAGCCCCGTGCCATTAGTTGATTGTTGTTTTGTGTGAGCGTGTTTGTGTGTGAGTGTGTGTGTGAAAAGCATTACCTGACTTAAGGATGCTAATGTGGCAGAATCCACAGAATCCTGTAATACAATAAATATTATATAAATATGTATAAAAGACAAACGATATGCGAAGCACGTAGGCAAGTGGCAACAACTCAAAAATAACGGGACTACAGCAGAGGAATTTGACTTTTGGGTGAGGTGACTTGGGTGCTCTTGCTTGAACGTACATAATATTCTATCTATGTATGTTTGTTTGTTTGTATGTATGTACTATGCATATGTGGGTGGATACAAATAAAATAAAAGCAGACAGCATATGGCATACTAGTACGCGTATGTATTATGTTATGGGACCATGCTACGCACCTGAGCTTGCGACATCTCCTCCAGCTCTTGGGCCAAACTGTTGAGCGTGCCATTCAATAGATGACGACCTTCCTCGACGCCACGCGTCAGTACCGCCGCTTGCAGCTCCTCGTTCTGCTCCTCCAGGGCTATTGAGTAGAAATTAATAACAAAGATTTTAGTTAGAATTTCTCGACGAAAGGCATTCTCGCTAAATAATTTCGGTTTTCTACTTCAAAGGCATTTTACACATTGTTTTGTGTTTTATTGTTGCTTGAAAAGGGCGTATAAATTGTTCTCTAATTCACTTTTCATCTTAGCTTATTTTAACATTTTAGAGAATCAAACATTCCCAAAAATGTTCAATTTAATGAATATTTATTATTTTCGAACCTACAAGAAAAAATGTTGACTTCATTTAAGTGCAGAATCTTATGAACTCTGGAATTATTTTCCATTTATGTGCTTTGCACAATTTTTTCCCCCAACGTGTCGTTAATAGACATTATTGTAAATTTATATTTGAGGCTTTTTTGTCTTTTAAATTTAAATTATCATTGGATTTATTTTTAATTTGCGAATCGCAGCATTTATTGTTTAACTTTGAAAAAGTGGAACTATTTAATTAAAGAAAGTTGAGTTAAAGCACGAATTGTAATATAAAATAAATATTTAGGAAATAAATGATTTGCTTACTTTAAGGTATTTTGAATTTGTATTCATCAAAGTGTTTTTGAAGGACAGTGAATTAGACGTCAGTTTCTTTCTTCTAAGCCTTACAAACTTTGGTCGCACTAAGACGCCAACTTTTCGATAAAAATGTTAGCCTTCTCTTTTTTATAATCGAAAGAGATAAAGTTAAAAAATATTGTCTATTTCCTAATGTCCATCTAATTTTACGATTATATTTTTTCTTATTTTTTATTACAGTCAAAAAAATCAACAATATTGTCGCAAAAGGCAACTTTTAGCCACAAAAAATATTTTCAGATATAATATCTGTAGTTTACTTGAAAAATTTCACGAATTTGTGTGCAAATTATATGCCTGTCTGAACGTTGCATTTTTCATCTGAACTGTAAAAACATTATAATATTTCGCCAAGTCTTTGTTAATGCGGAGGGAATTTCTGCTTATGCCAATGATAGCCAATGCGAAAATTTTAAATCTCCTAAATTCTTTCAACCATTCAAAATATTGCCCTACTACTTTCAAGTTATATGAGCAAGTTTGCAGGTTTTGATTTCGTAAAATTTCATAAAAAAAAGAATAGTTGCTAATTGTAGATACGGCATAAAATATTACTATTTAAGCTATAAACTTATTTTCAACTAGCTTAAGCTGCCATATTGGTAGCAGAACACTGGTTTAATAAATTGTATATACATTTACATTAAAAAAAAGCTATAAACTTGTTTCCTAGTTTCTTCATTTAAGATGAAGTTGAAAACCTAACTGTTTCCTCTTTTTTTAGATTTCAAAAAGAATTGTATTGTTGTTGTAGTTGTGTTACTCTACTCACTTCTATTCTTTTGCCGCATCTCCTCCAGCTCCTGATGCAGCTCTTCCAGTCTTATGCTTTCCGGCGATGTTGTTGGCATCGCACGCGCCCCATTCTCCTCCCGGGCACGCTGCAGCTCACGGCTTAGCTCGAGCATAAGCTCCTCTGTGGATTTCTTTTCCTGTTCGTGCTTGCGCTGCTGCTGCAATGCCTCATCGTATTCCTGCTGCAGTGCGGCCACATGACTGCGTGCCAACTCCAACTGCTCCTCGGTGCGATGCAAATCATTGGCCTGCTTATCGCACAGCACACGCAAACGTTGCGCCTCATCGCGCAGGGCGTTGGCCTCAATTTCGGTTGCTTTGATTTTCATCTGACAGTTTTCGTTTTGTAGCGCCGCCTCCCGCTCGACGCGTGCGAGTATCTCGCGGTGCCGTTTCTGCTCCTCGGCCAGACGTTCCTCGGCACGCAGCTCCGACTGTTGATTGAATGTTAATGTTAACATTACAGTTTATCAGTGCACAGTGCTTCTCCAACTGTGGAGTTGCTGTCTCACTTACCTCTCTGAATTGCTCCTCGAGCATGTGATAACGCGCCTGGAGCACAGCATATTCAGTTTTTGTGCGCGTCGTGCGATCCTCGGCTATATTCTGTGTATCCGACAAATCGTCCACCTTGCGTTGCAGCAGCTCCAACTGCAAAGAGTCAGATAATGATAGTTGTTAGTCAAATATTCGTATGCAAGGGGAGAGGGCTTAATTAACTCTCTACTAACACAGTCGTTCTTAATGTGCCGCAAATCGCCCAGCAGCTCATTCACAAGCAAAACATCAGCCATGTGATTCTTTATATACATTTGTCTAGCTTTTTGGCTATCTATATACATATATTTCACATTATTTGGGGCTATATGTATGTACACGTATACATATATCTGTACTCGTATGCTGCGGTTGCACGCTGCATTAAAAATTCAACACAAATTTTTCTTCCACAATCGCGACGAATGTGCCGCGTCTTTTCTCATTTGCTTGCACTCCAAGACTGTTGGCCTGCCCCTCGGACTTTGTATTTCATTTTCATTTGTTTAACGACTCAGCCGCCAATAGCGACGACGACAGCGACGACGCGACGCACTGAGCGATGCTGCTGCTAATGTTGTTGCTATTGTTGTTGTTAATTATTGGCATGCCTTGCCTATATAAAAATTCATAAATATTTCTGTTTACAGCTACTACGCCTAATGGCGAACGCACCAAAAAATAAAAAAAAAAAACTTACAAAAGCTGACACTGAAGACGACTGCCGTTGGCGTTGCATTTGATTTTGTATACTCTATAAAGGAGGGTTTTATAACTACACTCTTATGTTTGTTACTAAAAGGCGAAAATTTTCAATATGCAATATATCTCTTTTTACTGTTCATAAATTGCAATGTTCAAAACGAAAATACTACTTATATAGAACAACTTAATAAAGATTAAAAAAAAGTTTCCAAAGATTTGTTTTTAATTTCGCATTTATATTAACGCTCTTAAAAAAATTTTATATAACAGCTTTAAACGATAAAAAAAAACGTCTTTTTCTTTTTGAAATCAATATTAGTGCCATTTATGATTCTATATTAACTTTATTTAAAGAAATATTTAATCAGCCCCTATGATTAAATTCCCATTCACACTATCTGTACTCAACTATTGCTTTCAAATATTTTCCAGCAAATGCGATAGACTTGGACATTTCGTATTTCCCCGATAATGACATCACAAATTCCACTCAATCAATAAACTACTAATATACAAGTAACATGTTTGGCTAAAACAAAAATTTGCCACCAAAATTTTGTAAGGGTATTTAATGTTTGGCTTGTCGTAGAGAGCGTTACTAATGTCTGTTGGTGGGCAGCTAAATTTTTTCTTGTTTCAAAATTGTTTACTTTTTGCATTGACGCTGATTTGCAAAATGCTTTTGGCCTACCTAACTATTTGTGCATACACAATATACACTGCAAACATAAGTCCATTTCATACGTATACTTGTATGCATACATATGTAATTGGTTGTCGTCTTTTACATGTACTCTGAGTGCAGAGATAAGAATATTGAGTTATCGTATATGGTAGCACATAATATTTTCTCAGTAGTGTGATAAAATATAAAGGGTGCTTGGAAAGTTTCCTTTTCCTTAATTGAATAAATTAATACCTAATTAAGTATGTCGAGATCTTCGTTCCTTTTTTACAAATTTACATTAAAAAACTAAAAATGTTTTGAAAAAACTGCAATCAAAATGCATATACTATATAGTACTGTGTTGCTTTATACTCATTACAGCTCTTTTATAAAAAGAAATCAAAGCAATAGATAAAACCCCATTGGGGTTTAAACAATCTATTCATATGGATAATTAGCATAGTGTTCATTTCTAGCGGCCATCAAATATAAATTTGAACAAATTTTATATTCACACACATACCGATCTGAAACTACCAGCATAATAAAAAAATCTAAGTTAGTTTTCTAATTCGAACAAATTTTTTTTTCATGTGCGAAAACCAGATGTCTTCCAAGGAAGTACAGAAGAATTTCCTTCCAATTCTTCTATATGACAGAACTGGCGATGGAACAATTTGCTTCCACTGTGGCGGCTCTAAAAACATTTACATTTTTAATTAAAATTGCAAGGGAATTAGTTCCACATAAAATGGTACTGAATGGAATATGAAAAAGTGAGCGCACTTGGAAACCTAAACCTAAACAAATCGATTTCAGCAAAGTCTTATGAAGTTAAAAAAAAAGTTATTCAAGAACAGACATGATCATTTAACAATATTTTTTGTATGAGTATTACCCTGGAAGAAATTTCAATTCGAGTCAACAATTCAACAATATAATGCGTCAAGTTCCCATTGCCATTGCCAGTTGTTGAACTAAGCTCCGTCCCTAAGCCCTCTCCCCTGGCTAGACATAGACATAGACATAGATAGATGTGTTTATTTCATTACGCCGTCCATTTAATAGAAATGTCAAGTCAAAAGTTCAATTAATTAAAAAAGCGTCACAATAAAAAACAAACACACTCTAAGCTTTGGCACATTCCGATAAATACAAAAAGAAATACAGTGGGTGGCTCGCCGGCAGTGCTTGTCAAACTGTTCATGAGCTGAGCTTCAATTAAACTTAATTAAATGCAATTTGCAGCACTCAACAAACGAACAACATGTCTATTTGACGTCACTACATATCGAATGAGCTGCACAGAATTAAATAAACTGAGTACAAGTATATGGCGACTATATATTTATCGAAACGGGAGCAGACACACACGCAAGCAAACAAGCCAAGCAAATAGACGCGATGCCCGCACAGCGGCAACTGAAAAGGCCCAAAGAAATGTAAACTAGAGAGAGCGACGAGCGGCCAGTTGACGAAACGTTCTAAGTTCTATATACATAGCCGGCTAGCTAGCTGGCACACTGACTGTGCCATATGGGAACGCTAATGCCTCCCCTCCTCTTCCTCATCTTCCCCTGCTTCTTCGCGACTAAATAGTGTACAATGAACCGTGCCAAAATCAAGAATTGTTAGGCAGACACACAAAAACTGTGTAATACGCGCAAGAAATTAATTTAAACGACTTCTAAAGAAAGAACAAACGTTGTTATTGTTGTTGCTTGACTCTCACACACACACACACACACACACACACAAACATACAGACATGCTAGTTATAGTATAAAAAACCGTTGCCCAAAAAGTAAACAAAGTAAAAGCTATAAACAAAACAAAAAAATGAAAATACAGTGTAAAACAGAAATAATTAAAATGTAAGCTGGCAAGCATTACAGCTGGAGCAGCGGAAGGTGGGGCTAAGGGGCAGAGATTGAGTAACAAGTGGCGTACATACATACATATATACATATATATGTATGTATGTATTGGACAAAGCCTCCAAAAGGTGCCACAAAGGTGCGTCGTGGAACAAACACCTAATGAAATGTGTTAAGGCAATTTTTAATGCTTGCTTCACTTTCTTGTCATTTGTCGTCTTCATTTCTTCTGCCTCCGCTTCTTGTTTTGGGAAGTTAAAGCCAATGTCAGTCAGGGTCATTGTGCTTCCCACTTGCCGGCCAAAGCTTCCGCGTACAGTTTTGCCCACATCATATATATATATTTTTTTAATCATAGATAGATGTATGTATGTATGTAGCTTTTGTCATTTTTTGACAGCCTAATGGTAAGTGGGGGGACGACTAAGTCTTTCGTGTGGTGCTGTGACATTCAGTTGACTGATTAATTTTATTTGGGGGGTGGGGTAAGGGGAAATGGGAAGAGAAAACTAAACAGGTGACATTGCTTTTATGGGGAAAACAAGAAACGTTTAAAGAGGAAAGATACTCGTATGTGCCACGAATTAGTCTTGAGTGACACGCATTGTAAAGCCAAAGTACATGCAGCATTAAAGGCCTGCGACAAAAATTGTATTTAGTCGTGACAACAACCAAAGAGTAACTCATAGACACCACAGTTATCGATAGAGGTGAGCAGTTTTCGATAGTTTCTATGGCCGCTGCACCTAAGCGGACAACAGCTACTATTGTTTTATTAGCTGGAAGGGAATATTCTCGTCAAAAACAGAAAATAGGATGGGTTATACTGCTTGGTATTATTTGAGATTATTTTCAGCCATATGCCAAGTAGTATCTAAATAAATTAATTGAATTAAAATTTATTAAATAACATATTAATATCAATATCAACGTTACTCTGAAGAAGTGAATTATGAGAGGGGAACTCTAGAAATGCTCTAGAAAATCCATGAAACACTGGCTGTCCGGTAACTTAAAGGTCAGACAATTTGGAGATGATACAGCTGTGCGGCAGATGGGAGCTACGGTTGTTGCAATGGAAACCAAAACCGCCAGTGAAGATGTTTAAAGCCTAGTTTTAAACTCGTGGATGAAACATGGGTTCTTTATTAAACACCTAAGACTAAAAGGAAAAACAGTAGCACTTGGCAAAAAAAAGTGTTGTCAATCAATATTCCATATTCTAAAATTCAAAAAATGAGTCGGTGATAAAAGATTTGCTAACAATAATTCAATTTTCTCACTATAATAGAGTATTGCAGCTATTGAAAATTGCTGGAAAAAGTGTAAAAAAAAAAGGTTATAAAGACAAATGGATATCTTTTTTGTGTTGGCCGGGTACTTTTCCAATTTCTCAGTTAGTTGATGACCAATTAATTTAATATCTATCGAGTTGTTTAGGATTTAGTTCTATTTATCTAACCTTTGCTGTAAGAATAGTGGGCTTCGGACTTGGGACTTTATCTAAAAAACTTCTACCAACACTTTAGTATCTGCCTTAATTTCAACAGTTCATAAAAAGTAATTGGATTGCAGTAGCACCCAAAAAATTGGGCAGCCACAATATAATCAGCATTAGCTTTGACCTCAAAATACCCAACAAGCCAATATCAAAAGAGTACTTGCAACATTTCCATTTTCCGCTACAATTACAAAGCACAAGACGTTCCACTTAGTTACTTCTATCATGCTCTCAATATTAATCAGGCATATAAACAAATCGACGGGCTGCCAGCCAGCATCCGCTCGCTCTTATCTATCGGTTCCAGTGACCTCTAATGCCTTGTGTGTCGGAGTGTTACAAAATTTTCCACAACAATTGCAGT